AGCGCAAAACTTTAAACACTACGTGACCTCAATAGATAGAAAAATGAGCCCGCGATCCACTCAGGTGATGATGGTCAGCGTATACTCTAGTTTGACAGCTGTCAATTAACCTTCATTAGAATGGCGAATATTCGAATTAACAGACTACGAGTGTGAGTAGGACATTTCCGTCCGGCATGTAGTGGAAAATGCCAGATCGTGTACCTGAGCGAACCTGAGCCCTCGTTATTAGTTTTCTGATAGCGGTCTGCACATGTCCCATTTTGACAGCTGTCAATTGACCTTAATTTGGCTTGCCAATGTAACTTTAAACGACTGTCAGCCAACTGACAGCCTTGCCCGGCGTAGTTTCGTTTTTATGTTGAATTGGTAAGTGTGACATATTATATCAGCTTATATATAGGGGCAAAACAACTGGTCTTTTATCTGAGCCCGCGAGACGGTGATGTGATAATTGTCAGCGAATGTCTGATTTTGACAGCTGTCAATCTAATCGTACTCATGCGGATGGCTTACATAACTAAGAGGCTAGTCAAGTTTTGCAAGCTATATTGTGATATTTGTCATCGGCTTACATGAAGTGTGTGTACGGACGGGCGGGCGTACGCTACGTCATAACCAAATTTTCTCGGATGGATAGTTTACCAAATTTTCCTACCCATGGTGCTCCGCTGCGCGCGCGCTTCGCTACAAACTATAATTACAATAAGAATACAGTTAGGATGGGTCAAGCGAAAGGAAGGTGGTGAAATGCCGGATTAGCATAAAACTAAGAAATAAAATAAAGTTTCACTTAAGCTAAAATGATCAACGTCATTGTATCTCGTTAAAAAATGACTATAAATAGCCCTTCTAAATGAGGTTACACATGTTCCTTTCTTAAGGTACTTAACAAAATACTTAAACGTTCGTTCTTTCTTAAAAAAATAAAGGAATTATTACTAAATTTCTTGCGGTCAGAAGATGATTATGTCTAAGTCTCCCGTCTTATTAAGTTATTTAGTACTTTAGGTTAGCCTCTCTTCATAGTCGTTATGTACTTGCCTTGTTTTATGTTAGTTTATTCTATTTTCTGTATAGTAGTGTCTTCACTGTTATTTAGTCCATCTATAGATAAACCTTGTACTTGTAATATGTCTTCAGCTCCCCCGCCTCGATTAGTTCATAAGCTATTTGCGGGTGGGAAAGTAATGTAATTAGTTATATTTCCAATTTTCAATAAAATTTGTTGTTGTTGTTGTTTTGTTGTTTACTACACCAGCTAGCGACAGTTAAAGATGGACACACATTAATAACATTTGTAAAGCCGCTATTTTTCTACTTATATCACATAAAAAGAATTAGAAAGTTTCTCAGTCTTAATTGTAGTCATATTTTGGTCAATGAATTTGTAACGAGTCGTGTTGATTATTGTAATAGCCTCTTGTTTGGCTTGCCTAACAACCTGCTACACAAGCTCCAACGATTCCAGAATGCAACTGCCAGGCTGATCTGCAATCTTGGACGCTTCGATCACATCACTCCCACCTTATTTAGCCTTCACTGGCTGCCAATCAGAGCCGTAGCTAGCGGGGGGGCAAGGGGGGCAGCTGCCCCCCCCCCCCCCCGCCCCCCTGGGCTTTTTTGGCCCGGCCCCCCCAGCCTTTGGGTGGGTTTTTTTTTTTTTGATCCGGTTTTTTTTTTTTTTTTGATTTTCTATTTTTTTTTCTTTTTT